CTCTTGAAGGTGCTTGGCTAGGTAAGCACAGGAATTCATATTTGCAAAATTAATTTGGTTGGATTTGTTTGTTTAAATGAAAGAAAATGCCAAGAATCTAGTTAGCAATTGGTAATAGAGGCTATGAAGTATCACAGCTGATTTATTAAGCCAATTTTTAAAAAAAGTTTCAATAAGGATAACTGGATTAGGTTTTTACCTTATTTATTCAGTCATTTTAGTGGAAGTATGTTGGAATTAAGGAGCAGGAGTTTGCATGAAGATGTTGTTGATAATGATAATACAATTTATATTAATTTGAATTTATAACAAAATGATGGTCCAGACTAGGGGTGGACCTTATCTTCTGACAGTTCAGCAGTTGAATTTCTCAATTAATGACCTGTGGCTCATTTTTTGCTCACTAGAGCTCATTATATAAACTGTTGGTCATTTCCTCTTTAGAGCTAATACTAATAGAGATTAACATCACTATACAATCTGTAGTTAGTGCAGAGTTACATATTTATTTAGGTATATTGTTTAACAAGAAATGTACTAATTATCCTATTTATTTGTCATATTTTCTCAGTTTGCTGAATGGTGTCTAGACTATGGTGCACATGGATGCCGTATTCCTGACCGACCCTACTCATTGTTTGAAGGCAAGAGCTTGTTTTTTGAATTCTATTCAGCAATCATAAATTTGCATTATAGGACTATAAAGCCAGGTTTGGCATGTATGTAAATTTCTGTTAAACTGAGTGGAGTTCAACTAAAATACATCTGTCAAGCTCTGAATAGCAACCTTAAAGCATTGGTTTTATATTTGGTTTTATATTACAGAATGCATATGAAATGTAAATATGGAATATCAGAATGCTTAAACAAAGAGTTGCATTCCAGATGAGTTTGGTGTGTAACTCCTAGAATTCCCAAGCATTCCCATGGCATGCTGGCTGGAAAGTTGCCAAGCTTTAATCCAAAATTTCTGGGAGGCAGCAGGTTGAAAAATGGATTTGGATTTGGAGAAAAAAATTCCAACTTCATAGATCCAGATAAGTAGAAATGATAGTATACAACTATATTCCCTTTCTCCATCACACAGCAACTCATTGAAATTAACAAGGCCTAAGTGAATCATGTTATTTTCAATGGTTCCATATTTTCCAGATTTATTTAGAAGTAAATTAAAATTCACAAGCACAAATCTCTCCCTTCTCAAAAATAAGTCCAATGGAGCTTAGTGGTACTTTCTCCTAAGATCATTTATGCTGGTGTTGCCCCAGTGCCAGATAAATATATGCTGTCACATTTTCTTTTAGACTGCAGACTATCCTGCAGCTTGTATTTTTCCATAGAAAACACATCCCCAGGATGAAATATAGCCAATCCAAGGTCCATAGGACTATAGTGCCTTTCCCCTAACAATCAACAAGCATGCTGCTGTATTTTGATCAACTACATTTTCTAAGAGGTCTTCCAAAGCAGCTCCTTGCAGTGGTGTAGCTACGTGATGATAAGAGAATAAATTACTGACATCACAGCCTTCTGCTTCAAAGACCTTATGGCTGTGGTCTCCACTTGCCCATCTGAAGCAGCTACAAGTCCTCAGCTGGCAGACTTGCTCTTTCAGAGAGAGTGCCATCCCATTAAATTTAAATTAAATCAAAACTAGAGCTGATGGAAAGCCTTTCCAATAAATCATTCTCCATTAAATTCAGCTATTTTGTTCCTTCCCTACAAACGTTGCCAAGCTCTCAATAGCATCTCTGACTTGACTCAAGCTGAAAATATATAACTGTTTATCATCAGTAGATGATACCTCCTCCCACAGACTCTCTTGGTGATTGAATGTAGTTGTCAAAAAAAGGATGAAAATGACCAAACCTTGATCATTATACAAGATAATATCTATTGGGCCAACCTTCCCTATCTACCACTCAGAATAATATAAATCCATTATAGAAAGGATTTATCTCTCAATAGATATCCAGAAGGATATTATTGTAAATGGTAATGAATTCTGTTGAGACCCTGGAGCACTTTCCCTCCACCCAGATATTGGCATACATCATGCACCAGAACAATAATGCTACTAATAATGCTACAATAATGCTAATTCCAGCCCTGGGACTAAATCCTAACAGAAAAGAGTTGAGAAAATAGTCTTCCTCTAGAGCATTTATTTACTTACTTACTAAATAATTAACTTAGGAAGAGCTCTTGCATGGATTCTCATGTATCTTAATCAGCATAAGATTGCAGTGGGCAAGTTGTGAATTGATTATTTTTAAAAACTCATTAGACTCTTCCAAGAACATACCACTAGATTTCAGCACTGTATTTTCTTTTTTTAAGAGATAAAAAAGTAAGATACTGGTAGATACTATGTTTCCAGGGAAGATATTTGATGCCAATTGTGGTCTTTGACTCTTTCTCCAAGTTTTGACCTCTTCATTAAAATTGTTAGTCTTAGGTAGGCTTGCTTAACAGCTGTGCATCTTAATGGGAAAAGATTGATTTAAAACTAGTCCGGTTTGTCCCCAAAATATCTGCCATCATGCCCTGGTTAAAGTTATGAATGAAGATGCCACATTTCTTTTGAACTTACTTTTTCAGGTATGGCAGGAGCTATCCATTTCCTTTCTGACATCTTGGTTCCAGAAAAGTCTCGCTTCCCAGCATTTGAACTTAGTCCCCAAATGAAAGAAAACAAAGAGAAGCGCAACAGCTAAATGGGAATTGAAGGTGGTGCCAGAGGCAATATGACTGCCGAGTGCCTAAAATATATTGGATCAACGTTGGAGTCCAAACAGCAAGATAATTTTCTTGCTGTCCTTCAAAGGACTGCGTTTGTCATTAGCGCATGAATGAGAGAATTCCATACCTTGATGTTTCCTTATAAGAGATATCTTTAACAGTGACAAAGAGCAAATTTCAGTTTGTTGGGATGTTTCTTGTTCGGCTTTCACAGCTGTCTCTTCAAGTCTTTCAAGTGTTTGCATGTTCTTGGTGTTGTATTTTTCTCCTTTGTTTGTTGCAAAGCTGAAAAGCATTCTTTAATATCTAGTCCTGTTGTTTTTTTCTGTGCATGACTGTACTAACAACACAGTTCTTTCTGCAGCTGACAAGTACATGATGACAATAGGATCAGTCTGTTGGACACAATAAATGAGAGAAGCAGGAAAGGCCAGATACTCAAGTCACAGAATCCTTTTTTCTTCGGGAAACAAGTTCGGAGTCTAGAGCATTTTGTTTGCTCCCATCACAGTACAGCAGTTTTAAAGTCCCATGTGCTTAAATTGCCCTGATCTCATTCTAAAGAATCTAGAAATACTCAGTTTCTAGATGTATTACACCCAGTATTTTTACAGTTATTGTTTCCTTCCATGGGGAACATTTTTATAATTTATTTCATCCAAAGTGCAACACCGACATGCCTATATTCATTTCTCTGGAATCATTGAAATCTATGGCTCCAGATTATGGGGGCAGTTTAAGTGCACTGAAATTAAATAAGATAACTATTTCCCCTTTTTCTTCTTTATTATACTTGTGCTACACCCATCAATTCTGGGCTGTGTGGAAATTTTTCTTTAAAATCTGTTCAATTCACACTTTTCTATTTGAAACAGACTTACTGCATATGCTGTGTTACTACTTTGTTGTTGGATTTAGATTATAAATCTTAGTTTATGAAAAAAAATCTTACCCCTTTGATAGTATTGCATATCTGTATTTGATTATAGTGTTTGGCAGACAACCAAACAAACCAAAGAAAAAATAAAATAACTTATTCTCGTTTGGTTTCTCAATGGAACTCAACTAATATGTTAAGAAGGCAATGATATAAATATAAAAATACATGCATTGTCAAAAAATCCCACCATATAAATAAATCTCATTTTTGTCATTTCATTTTTTTGCATTCTTCCATACAAGAGTTACGTAATTGAGTAGATCACTTAAACTGAACTTTCTCAATAAATAAATGGTTACTCTTCATCTTTATTATTTCAGATCTTCTAAAAAAAATCTAAACAAGATTTGTATACCATTTGAAGGGAGAAGGCTACTGTTAAAATTAATCCAAAACTTTCCAGTCACTGAAAGATAAACTCCACTCTTAGAATGGATATTTAAAAGTTGTATCAAACTTTTCTGATTTTTGTGATGCCCATTGTATTGTTTCTAGTCTAACATGGAGGAGTAATTTCAGTTAGTAACACTTTTTGAAGGAGAGGTGATGGGCCTGGGAAGAGAAAAGTGCTTGCCAAATATTTTGCAGTTCAAAATTTTCAAAAAGAAAGAAAGAAAGATACGGAATAGTTGAACAATTATGTTCAACCTGCCCATTTGTAAAAACTTATAAAAATTTGTAAAATAAGAGATTCCAAAATGTTCATAAAATTCTGATGTGGAAAATTATTTTTCACTGTTTCTTGATTGCATAGATGCATTATTATGCTCAATCCATAGGAAATTTGCAACACAACATTTTAATATTAAAAATCCTAAACTGTACTTCCCCAACCTGTGACACTTCACATTTCTCATTCCAGCTGTGTTTTCTGGGAGTTTAGTTCCAACCAGGGGGCTTCAAAAATTTTAGCAACGGATTCTCTGCACGATTTCTGGGTGGGCATGGCCATGGTGAGTTTGGCCTAGTCAGCCTCCTGCACCACTGTGTGTGGGGGTGTTTTTGCCTTCCCCAGACTCTGGAGGCTTTCCTTGAGCCTCTGGGAGGGCAAAAACAGCCTCTCCGGGCTCCGGAGGCTCTGTGGAAGCCGGAAATAGGTTCATTTCCAGCCTTGTGAACTTCCAGGAGGCCCATTTTTTGCCCTCCCCAAGCCTCCATATGCACCTTGCACTTACCTGCATCCAAATCAGGCTGTGCGGGGATTCCTGGGAAGGGTGGGACAGGGTGGGATTTGGGGGTTCTCTGAACTGTGCAGAATCTTAGCTAGAGGATCTCCCGAAGCCCTGTGAACCCCCAGCAGGTCACCCCTGGTTACAACACATCTACAAAGGCTGGAAAAGATTTACTAAATAATTTCCCTGGTAACAGGCAGCTCAAATCTTACAACCCAAAAACATTCTTATAACTGAGATCTATTCGTGATTAAGTGTTTAGAATTTTTAGACCTGTTCAGAAGAGCAATTCTCTGACAGAAATATTAAGAATTTTTGAAATGAGGAAGACTGAGTTATCTTTGAAAATGCTGCAATCTTTCGAGCTACCATGTTGTCTGAACTTGCTTTAAATATTGTAGTTCGCTTCTAAATGAGTTTGCAGAGAAGTAGGATTCCCCCATTTAAATTTTCTGAACTAGCTTCCGGCTACTAAACTTAGGTCAGTTATTAATCCCAGAACTAGTCAGACTATTGATTTTAAACATAGTTTTATGGAAGCTTCTAAGAGTATTTGCTTTACATCTGATTTGAAAGTATGCTGTAAATCATTTGTCAACTGAGTGCTGTTCATGGGAATGGACCCTGGATTACCTTGCAAGCAAAGTATAGAATTCACCATGGTTTTCTGCAGACTTTTAGTTTAAATCAAGCCTTCCTTTTATATGTAGACTTGAAGGCTGAGTGAAAAAAGTGAAGTTCTGCCTGTCAACTGCCTATAAGTAAAAAGACAAATGTGAGTTGAGTAAGTGGACATTCATGGTACTATCAATAGTAGGTGACTGAGAGGTATCCATTTCCAGGGTAGATATGTTAAGGAAATTGCAGCAAACCAAAAGGATAAACTGACATTGGCTAAGAGCTCAGAAATGGGTTGATTTACATTGGCACACTACTTATATATCATTATTCAAAGGCTCCTTTTCAGATCAGATTCTATTTGGGCCATTAAATAGATGGGAATGCATTGTTGCCGTTTTGGTTTTCAAAGAATGAGTATAGGCTATTTTAATATCCAATTGCATGAGAATTATGAGAGAAAGTAGAAATAAAAACTCCAAATTTGGTCTAAAACTAACTTGGTATTTATTTTGAATGAAATAGCTTGTAAACTACAGGTTTGCACAAGTAGCTCATCAGGCAGAACTCTTAACTATTATGATTTACATCACCATTGCTACTAATTTGTATTGAAATTTTACTAGCTATTGTTATTTAAAATTGCACATGGTTCAATTATGGAATACATTGGTTGGTTTTTGTGAGTGGTATTGTTGCCATTGTCAAGTCTAAATGAAATAGATATGTGGCCATACTCCTCCACCCAAACTCTCCAAGAAGGAATGCAGTTATTAGATGTAACAGAAACCCCAGACAAAGAGCTATGCTATAGAACTGTCTCTCATTAGCAAGCATAGCCTGTTGCTTTGGGAGCCAGCTTGCAGGATCCTGTTAGCATGCCTGCCCCAAAGGAACACTTCCTTGCATTACTTAGGTGGGATCTGACAGCTAGTTCAAAGAGGCTCATTGTTGTCTAGAAAGCTGAGGTGGGGGGGTGGGATATTAAGGAATTTTGAACAAAGCTTCGATACTCTGCCTATCTATAATTCCAGACATGATTAAAATTTGGCTAATTAGGTCTGGAGTTATGAGGAATGAAAGATTATTCTAGGAAGAATGTATTATTTGAGGCTGAAAGTAAGCTGTGTTTATTTCAGTCCAAAGCACTGTCATTGAAATTTCATCTAGCAATACTCTCTATTTCTATGTCCTTTAAAATTCCCCTATGTTTATTGGATTTATCTTGTGTGCTCTCTTTCAGCTTAATCAAGTATAAAAGCACTTGCAACCAGTTCTAACATTCTCTCTCTCCCCCCCCTCTCTCTCTCCCTCTCTCTCTCTCCTCTCTCTGAGTGAGTGAGTGAGTGAGTGACTAAACACAATTGATATTACTCTTCCATGGGAAAAATTTCTGGTTGTACTCTCAAATACAACTCTAGCACATCAATTCTATTTAGGTGGATTATTCTTCCATGAAATTGGCCTCTTAAGATTTGTGGGTCCACCTATTTGTGACTTTTTCAGGATTCAGAATTATGTAAAGATAAGATTACATAAATGGAGAATTAAAACTGTTTTAACCTTGCTCTCCTTCATAAGTGTTTTATTATGTAGGTTGTCAGAAAGCCTTACAAAATTATAATTTGTGTAAGGCTATTCCTAGTAGTAAACTTCACCATGGGTGAGCAATCAGAATACTGTGCCCTCAGTTCACTTTTACTTATTTACAGAGAAAACATAACCTCCAAAGGTTTAACAATGCTATGAAAAAAATATATTAAAAAACAAGATCTCAGCTACTCTTTGGCACAAATGCAGGGAGAAAATAAGACACTCTTCGTTTCAGTATGTCGCAACACAAAAGCTTATTGTTTATTCCTTCTTCCGCAAGGAGTCCGAGATAATAGCTAAGCAAACAAAATAAAGTTGGATCTAACCCGAGTTTCCTGGGATTCGATATTTATAATAATTTCCCCTCATTACCCTTCATTACCCTGATTACCCTTATTACCCATGATTACCATTTTTAATAATTATTCATATGAACTCATGAATCGTGGTTAATGCGTAGATCTTCCCCTTCAGCCTTTTACATAGACCGCGCATATTATGATAGAGTTTATTCTGATGAAGAGGAATGCCATCCTTCAGGTCGCTGTGGCTTCGATTCAAACGTGTGTGTTGCGTAGTCGCGACATACGTCCCCCTCTGCCAGGAACCAGTCTATAAAACAATATACATTATATCACTAATTATGTCTACTTGTGGTCCAGGTTTATCAGGATATTTGGTTTTGCCTTATCAGTCTATTTGCACACACATCTGCTACTTTCACCCAAGTTGCCTCTGTTTCAGGATATCCTTTCCATCTCATTAAGTATTGTAACACTTTTCTACATATCCGCGAATCTAGAATTTTATCAGTTTCAGCATGGCTTACATCTTTAGCTATTACAGATTCCTCAAGTTGAGGTATATCAGTGTGTTCTACAGGCTTAAGTAAACCAGCATGAAACACAGGATGTATTCAATGTAACCATGGTGGCAATTTAAGTTTTACAGTTACAGGGTTTATCACTTTCATAATTTGGAAAGGTCCAATATATTTTGGTCCCAATTTTTGACTATTTAGGTGTAATTTTATATATTTAGTTGATAGGTAAACATGGTCTCCAGGTTTGAATGCTTTATACTCTTTTCTTATCTGCTTGTTGTTTATATTCTAGTGCTGTTTTATTGAGAGTCTCTTTTACTTTATCCCAACTATCCTGAACTTTTTTCGACCACATTTGGACACTTATGGATTATTGTTCATCACATTGTAAATCAGGGATTGGCACAAATTCTATCCCATTTACTACCTGGAATGGGCTATATCCTGTGCTTTCATGTATAGCATTATTATATGCTACTTCAGCAAATGGAAGTAAATCAGCCCATTCTCGCTGTTGATACGATGTATATGATCTCAAATACCTTTCAATCATCGCATTAGCTCTTTCAGCAGCACCATTGGTGCTGGGATGGTACGCAGAGCTAAGACCTTGAGAGCATCCTAAAAGGCGTACAAACGCTCTCCAAAATCGTGCTGTGAATTGCACACCTCTATCTGAAATTATCCTCCTAGGTGTGCCATGTAATCTATATACATGTTTTATAAACAGGTTGGCTAATTTTGTTGCCGAAGGTAATCCTTTACATGGTATAAAGTGAGCTTGTTTTGAAAACAAATCTATAATAGTCCAGATTACTGTATATCCGTTTCTGCTGGGCAACTCCACAATAAAGTCCATGGCTATATCTTGCCACGGCTGGTTTGGAACCGATACAGTTTGTAATAGTCCTAAAGGTTTTCCTACTTGAGGTTTCGTAGTAGCACAAATGTGGCATTCTTTAAGGTACTGTTCAATGTCTGATCTCATATGTGGCTACCAAAACTGCCGCCTTACCAAATGTAGTGTTTTTAAAAATCCAAAGTGTCCAGCCTGCCTTACATCATGACATTGGGATAATATATTTTTCCTACAATTTGATGGAACATATAGTTTATCCCCTCTCCAATACAACCCATCTTTATGTAAACAGGCACTATTATTTGTTTTTATCCATACATCCATTTTTGTAGCCTCTTCTAATTCCTTTTTGGTTACCTCTTTCGTGGTCAACATCTGAATTTGTTCGGTTGACGGTCCTACAGAGATCATGGGCTGAATAACTTCATCTCTAGACACATTGTATTGAGGTAGTCTAGATAGTGCATCCGCCATGAAGTTTTTACCTCCCGGAACATATCACAACTGGAAATCAAAACGTTTAAAATACAAAACCCATCTTACTTTTAGGGGATGGTTTTCTCGGTTTCTGTAATGCTTGTAAATTTTTATGATCTGTCCAAACTTTGAATTTTTCTTTCAACCCTTCTAATAGTTGCCTCCATGTACTAAGTGCCCATTTTACAGCAAAAGCCTCCTTTTCCCAAATAGCCCACCTGCGTTCTGTGATTGTAAATTTCTGTGATGTATATGCACATGGCTGTAATTGTCCATCAATGTTTTACTGTAAGAGGACAGCGCCCATAGCCACATCACTTGCATCAGCTTGTACTACAAAACTTTTAGTTGTATCAGGATGTTTTAAAATGGCCTCTTGAGCAAATAAAGCTTTCAGGTTGTCAAACGCTCGCTGACACTCCTGTGACCATACAATGGGTTGACTAGGTCTGGATTTTGGCGCTTGATGCTTAGTTTTTAACAATTCTGTTAGTGGTAAAGCAATTTGTGCGAATTTAGGAATAAACTGCCGGTAAAAGTTCACAAATCCTAAACTTTGTAATTGCTTTCATGTTTTTGGCTCTTTCCAATCAACTACGGCTCTGACTTTATTGGGATCCATTTCTATTCCTTTATTGGATATTCTGTACCCCAAATAATCCAACGACGTACAGTGAAACTCGCACTTCAAAAGTTTCACATATAAATTGGCGTCAAGTAATTTTTTCAGAACTTTCCTCAATAAGGCCACATGTTCCTCCATTGTTTTGGTATAAATTAAAATATCATCTAAATATATGAGAACGCCACGATATAAATGTTCTTGCAATACTTCATTTATAAGTTGCATGAAGACAGCGGGTGCCCCTTGCAACCCAAATGGCATAACGTTAAAACTGAAAACTTCCAAGGGGGCAATTAAAAGTAGTTTTCCATTGATCCCCCTCTCGTATTAGAACTCGATAGTAGGCTTCTCATAAGTCCAATTTCGTAAAATACCTGACAGTTGCTAATGTTGCTAACAAATCGTTGATCAGTGGTAAAGGATATACATTGTCTATACAAATAGCATTGAGCCCACAGAAATCAACACAAAGACGTAATCCACCATCTTTTTTCTCACGAAATAAAACGGGCAGCTATATGTGATTTCCCGGGTTGAATAAATCCACGCGCCAAATTTTTAACTATATATTGTCACATTTCCTCCATCTCTTTTGGAGTCATGGCATACATTCTTGGTTTTGGAAACTTTGCTCCAGGAATTAAATCAATTGCACAATCAGTTGTTCTGTGTGGAGGTAATGTTTCACAGTCCTTTTCGCTACACATCTGCTAGGTCTTTATATTCCTCTGGATAACATAGTTCTTCAGAATCGTCTATAGCTGTTACAACTTCCCTATTATTTACATATGGAGGGGACATAGGGCCAACTGCAATTCGTAACTTTCTAAAACCATCTTCCCACCATATCGTGGGCTTCCATTTATCTAACCATACTAGACCTAAAATTAGTGCCTCCCTCATCTGTGGTACTACAATAAATCATAAAGACTCCCAATGACTCCCTATCTCTAGTTTGATAGGAGTTGTCATTATTGTAGCAGGACTCCCACCTAATAATGAACCATCCACTTGTTCAAAATGCATAGGTTTGGGCAGTTCTTCCACTGCTAACTGTAATTCATCGACCACTTTTTTACTAATTAAACATCTAGTATATCCAGTGTCGATTAATGCTCCATACTGACCCCTCAATTTGCTTCTTAGATTTTCCAATACTACTGCTATAACAAATGGTCGCACAGGATTACTCACCAAATCATCCTCATCCGGACTGTCATCTCCACTATCGTATAACCCCGAGACTACCTTGGGTAGTTAGGACAGAGGTAACTGTCCCTTGTTTCGTACCACGGGGCATGATACCACCTGGTAAATTGCTACTTGTGGTGCTAGGAATGCGAGCCACCTGTTTTCTACTATCTAGTTCTATAGATGGACACTCTATTGCCCTATGTCCCAGACCTTGGCATAGGAAACATCTTATAGGCCCCATTCCCCTACCAATCCTTTTAGTCTCCTCCCCCTTACCCCGTGCTGCTACTGCTCCTATTGGTTGTCTTTTGGGCCCTCCAAACATAGGACAGAACTCCCTCAGTCCCACATCCAACTCCACAACTGCTTTATACCATTCCCCCAGTTTCTGGGGAACCCCCCTATAAAGACAAGCCTGCCTCAATCCTCTATCTAAACCAGATCTAAATTCTCTAATCAATAGTCTTTCTGGACAGGTGTGCAACCTAGTTGCTAATTTCCGAAATTCTCTGACATACTCCACAGGAGGCCTCCCATCCTGCTTCAATGACATTAATGCTTCTTCATATTGATGTATCCTTGACCTATCTTCAAATTGAACTTTGAGTGCATCCAAAAACAAACCAACATCAATCAATTCCTTTGCATGCACACTATGCAACTCTGCAGCCCAATCGGCAGCATCACCTGTTAACACTGTAGTTATCGCAACTATAATAGACCATTGAGAAGGATAGCAATTTGAATTTAATTCTAGGTGGTTCACAATTTGGCTTAAAAATAATGCTAACCTATTAGGGTTCCCATCAAAGGAAGTGTTTATAGGAGGAGGACCATCCCAAACCATTCTTTGGGGACAATATCCAGATGTGCCTGATGGACCCCAGGAGTGAATTGTTTGTCTATTCCCCATTTGTGCATCCCTAAATTCAACCCTGGAATCTGGGACTGGTTTAGAGATTTTACTCTGAGTTCCTGATATTCCTACTACATCTGCTAATGATTCATCTACTTCCATAGAAAATGCTCTCTCCAACCTCCTCCTACTCATCTCCCTGCTATCTCTGGCACTTGAAGATGTGTCTTCCGTTCTAAATCCCTGGACTTTCCCAAACAGTTGGGGGAGTAGAGTCACGAATGCTTAAGTAACCATATTTGACACAGAGCAGTTCCAACGTACTAGCATTTAAACTGGTCATAGAAGTACTACATTCATCATCATTCTCTCCACTTCTCAAACATCCCGGAGGTCAGCGGCATAAAAGTAGGTTTCCCTTGTGAAACTTTTCTCCTCATATCGTCCCTCAACTCCAATCCCGCTTTCCGTTCCTTCTGGATTTTCGGCCGTACCACAGGCTGAGGATCCTCTTCACATCTCACATTATCTGTTTGTCCACTTTCCAAAGACACATTATCATCCGACTGAATTGAAGGCTGCTCAGG